ACGAAGCAGGGACCAAACATTGTCCAGCGAAATTCCCCCATAGGAATCACTGTTTTGCGAATCGCTATAGCGATCGCAAAAAGCCAATGTCTAGAGAAAAAACTGTCATGCAGCGCAACTGTCTAGCGAGGCACCACTGTATGGCCTTCAAGGATGACATCCTTGTTTGCAAGTAAAGACACTTAGGGCTGCCGGTTGTGCGTCTCCAGGCCCCAGGCATGAATGGCCTGAAATCCGACTGATCGTCAGATCTGGCTCATGGGCTTACGAGAGTTACCCTCTCAAAGGAGGGAGGCTGAAGCTGCCGGCTCTCAGTGTCTGAGAACGGTTTCCTTCTGAAATGAATCTTTATATTAAAGCCAGCAGACTAATCAAACCAAAACAGAACCTGCCCTTCAATGCTCTTGACTGTTCTGCCTGCTCTCATCCTCTGTCTGGCCTGTAGATCCATGAAGAAGAGAAGGACATTTGCGACTCGCAACCAAATTGTGTGGCCATCATTTGAGAGTTTGGAAAAGTACAAGGTGATCACCGTCCATCTGTTGAGGAGGAAAAGAGGAAGCCTACGTACGAGATGGACTTACCTTAAAGAGGAAGCCACAGCCTAGACTCTGAAAGGCATGAGCAGAGTTGTTAATGACAAGACATTTTTAGGTCACCAATTTCATATGGCTGCTGTAAGGAACAAGCAGCTGGATAGCACATAACAACGGCACTGTGATTGTTGTATGCTTTCAAGTTGGAACCAAATTATAGCAATCCTAATGTGGCTTTCGAAGTAAATGAAATATTTAAAGGCATAGGTTTTTTAACTCATCCAGTGACTTAAGGATTTGAACACAGGGCTCCTGAGTCCTACTCTGGCATTCTATCCACTACACCACACTGGGTACTAACAATGGCATAAAGGGATGCAAAATAAAGATGATGAAATAGATGATGAGCTTCAAAGGCTCTCACAAGCCCCACCTCTACTCTGTGATGCAGCCACAGGGAGAAAGCAGATGAAAAGCAGGCCTCCATCAGCCCGGTTCCCTGCAGCTGGCCTCGAAGCTAGAAAGATGACAGGCTGCCTGACCACCGAGCCTTGGGGAAGTTCAGGACTTACCAGATGGGAGTTGGGACAGTCTGTGTAGGTGCCCGTTTCCCGCAGAGAAACGACGGGCCTTCTTCCGCCTCGCAGCACTTACCTGGCAGAGAGCCAAAGGTCTGCACCATTTAAACCCAACCGAAAAGCCTAGTGAGGATGTTCTCAACAACGTTACCCCAGGAAGCACCCGCCGGAGTTGCTCCGGGTTGAACCAGGCCATCGCAGAGGATGGAAGTGGATATGAAAGGGAGTGATCCTTAACTGATCCTGAACAACGGGAGCCTGTGCTGGTCTTGGGGGGGGGGAATGGTCTGGAAAAGGCCAAAGAAAAAGGCTGGGCTGGTTCATGATTAGCTGAAAAATAGCTTGCTTGCTTGTTTTCTTCATCATATTTCTATTCCACCCCAGAGAAAACAAGCGCTTTCCGCGGTGGCGGCCCCAATGAGACTCCAGCAGCCCAATTGCTATCTAGGGGATAAACTGGAGCCTCGCGGCACCCTCAGGCTCCTTTGTATCAAAGATGGAAAAAAGCGGAGGGGTTGCAGTGGGAACGGTTCCCCCGGAACGAGCCCTCCTTGGTCCCTCTGCCATCCCTCACCTCTCCTCAGCAGCGTCTCCTTCCCGTAGTCCAGGTATCTCCGCAACCACTCAATGCAATTCTCCTCCAGGTAGGCCTTCACATACAGGTTAGACGCCAAGTCCATCTCCCACTTCCTCTTTGTGATCTGAGCCGTGGGAACGGCGGCCGTCCAGGTGAGGGTCTCCTTATCGAAGCTGAGGTAGTCCCTCCCATCGTAGGCGAACTGGGAATGCCCTCCTCCTGGGCTCCCGTCCTCCCTCAGCTCACAGCCGTACATCCACTGCACGGAGTGAAACCCTGAAAGGGACACACATTGGGGGTGGGGGTGAGAGGAAGACAGAGAGGAAGAGGGGGAGTCCTCCCTCCCACCCCCTTCAACCCCACTTGCGAAGCCCCACAGAAGGAGGCTGAGCAGGAAGATTTCCCACAGCAGAGGCTGAGATAGAAAGATTTTCTAACATGGAGGGGCCCTTAGGAAAAGAAATAATGGATAACCTAAAATGTTTTGTGCATGGTCTTCACGGTAGGATTACTCTACTCTCCTGGTTCCTCTCCTTGGGGTATAAAGAACAGTAACCCATCTGGGTAACAATTACACATGGGGACAAATATAAAAATGAATCAGGATATTCATTGAATATCCCTGATTTGTCAGATATTCGTTGCTTCATATTCTTGGGGTCCAGCGATGCCTATGAATACGAAGCAATGAACATAACCTTTTTCTATTCGTCCCTGTGTTCCCTATCTGCTTATGCTCTAGAGCAGAACAGTAACCCATCTGGGTAACAATTACACATGGGGACAAATATAAAAATGAATCAGGATATTCATTGAATATCCCTGATTTGTCAGATATTCGTTGCTTCATATTCTTGGGGTCCAGCGATGCCTATGAATACGAAGCAATGAACATAACCTTTTTCTATTCGTCCCTGTGTTCCCTATCTGCTTATGCTCTAGAGCAGTGGTTCTTAACCTTTTTGAAAGAAACGCCCCCTTGAGTCATTGAGGAAGTTATCATCGCCCCCCCTCCCCTACAGTGATGATATCTTATCTTATCTTATCTTATCTTATCTTATCTTATCTTATCTTATCTTATATCTTATCTTATCTTATCTTACCTATTTATTTATTTATTTATTTATTTATTTATTTATTTATTTATTTATTTATTTATTTATTTATTTATTTATTTATTTAAGACACTTAAATCCAATGACCCCTGAAAACAAAATTCAATTCCAAGAAAATGAAATGCCCCCAAAAAGGAACATTTAATGATTTAGTTGCAAGCAGATTTTAAGACAGAAAAAGAAATATTAAAAGGGTATAAAAACAAACCGCAATGCAGAAACTAAAAATTTCAAGACAAAAACTCTGAAACTAAATTAAGATTGGAGGAAAATATATATTCATGCACACTGTAAAAAGGCTGCAGCCGGCATCAAAGAGAGATCAAAGGGATCCCCCAGCTCAGGGACAGCTGCAGGATGACGTTGATCCCTTTCCACCTCATTTTGCTATGCCACGTGGGATCAAAGGGAAAAAAGGGATCAAAGTGATTCTGCAGCCGCGCTGCCTTACCAAAGGCATAGCAAGAGGGAAAATTTTTTAAAATAAATAAATGATCTGACGAATTATGAATTGATTTGTTGTTCGTCAGGTCACTTGGGGGGAATTCATAGTTTGTGGGCTGTCAAGTTTGATGACTCACAAACTAAGATGTGCTTCCTCCCCAACTCTAGGAACAATTTAGGGGGCCCTTTCACTCTCCTCCCTCCTGAGAGCTGCTCTCACTTTTCTTTATGAGTCTGCCCCCGTGTTCAAATCATCGGGGACACCTTTCTCTTGGTCTCCACAGACTTTCAGAGCCCCTGTTTGAAGGCTTCCGCCTTTCACTCACACACATACACACACACACACATACACATACACACACAGACACACAAACACACACACATACACACACACACACATGATTTTCCTTTCTGCGTTTACTGAAGCTGGAACACACTCCCCACAGCTCCCATGGGGGTAACCAGATGCATAGTTTTGGGGAAAGAGGGAGAGGTGGTCTCTCCCAGAAGGAACCTCTTTTCCTTCTTTCCAGCCACCCCCCTTCCTCATCCCCCTCCCCAGAAGGAAATAAGAGTGAAGTTGAGGTTTGGGGGAACAATACCTGACCATCCTGCCTTCTACTCACCTCCGCTCTGGTTGTAGCGATTTCTTAAGATCTGCAAGTTCTCTCTGAACACCTGCTCAGCATTCCAGGATATCTGGGTGTTCCTGTCCCAATACTGGGGGTCATCCTCATCCACCTTCTTGATCCAGGGTGCCCGAGGCTGCTCCCTTCTTACAACACTGTCATACTGGCTGAAGAGATGGCCGTCCACGTACCCCACTGTGATGAACTGGGGCAGCCCCTGGTTGGGTTCGGACACCCCTGTGTAGAAATAGCACAGGGAGTGCGAGGAGGAGCCTGGAAAGGGATGGGGAGAGGATGGATTGAGGAGGACTTGCGGACGAGGAAAACACCCCTGAACCCCAACCACAGTTCTTCAGATACTCAAAGTCCTAACTGTTCACTCATTAGCCCCCCACCCACGGGCCTCCAGACTGTTCGTGTTTCTGAGCACATATGCATCTATGGGGAGGAGGGCCAGATCCTCTATATAGAAACAAATATCAAACCCTTCAAATTTCATGGGATCCGGCAGTCCCAGGCCAGGTTCTGGGCTGGAGTGAGACTGCTTTCTCTTTTCCCTATGCTGTGAAAGCCGCCTTTTGGCCTCACCCTCAAAACTCTCTTGACTGCTTTGGCAAGCTCCTCACAGCCCTCCCTCTGGCATGCCTCCCCTGGATCAAGGCAACTTCCCCTCCAGAATGTTCTGACAAATCCCTGGCGTGAGATTTGGGTGAAGGAGCTTATTATTTATTTATCTGCATACTGAGTTATTTGATTTTTATCCCAATGTTCTTCCCTCCTGGGGACCCAAAATGTTAAGACAGTTTTTTTTAAATCAACCAATAATCGAAATAAATCAATTTAGATTGGAAGCTTGAATATATTCGTATTTAAAACATAATTTCAAACTGTACATTTAGAAAGGCCTCCTCATTTAAGTTGACTCCTGGCTCCCTATAAATCTCTCGAAAGAGGCAGGTTTTCATCTGCCCATGGAAGGAAATGAGGGAATGGGGCCACCAGACAAATCATTCTTTTGGGTCCTCAACAGGCGGGAGTGAGAGAAAGCAGTCCCCCACCTGCGGCATCTTCATACACAGAGAGATCTGTGGAGTGAGCGACAGTCTCTCAAGAGCTTCCCACTGTTTCGGAAATGGGGCCCCCTCCCTATATCTGTTTACAGCTGACAAAATCCTGATTCAAAGGAAGGACCAGCCGCCACACTCCTTGCAGGCCCTCGGACCCTTATGCAGAACTTTTCACTGAACCACATGCTCGGAAGTGAGAGGCAATCTGTACGCATACTGAGGAATGCCCACCGAGGGCTCCAGACTCCTTAAAACATCTAACAACCTCCTCCTGCCTCATAATAATAAAGGACGACTGTCTGCCGTCAAGTCAATTCTGACTTACGGTCACCCTTTCCATGGATTTCTAGCTAAAGAGTCTTGAGAAACGGTTTCCCATTCCCTTCTCCTGGGGGTGCCCTGGGACTGGGCAGCTTCCCCAAGACAACGCAGGCTAGCTCTCTGATCGGGAAGTTGAGTGGGGAACTGACTTCTCAGCCTCTTGCTCCCCAGCCAGAAACCTTACGCACTGAGCTACGCAGCCAGTTTCTCCCTTCAGACCAGGGTATACTTCCTTTTTCATACTCCCCAAAATATGGGGGTCCTGTGGAGAGCTTTTGCCTATGATGGTGCTCCTTTTTTGGCCCTTCCCATGTGGAAGTTGCTCTCCCACTCCATCTCCTTCCCTCCCCTGCAAATGCTCACCACCAGGCGCTTCCCAGGCCAAGACGAGAGGCTCAGCCAGGCCAGCGTGATCGATGTGGCATCGGTAGAGCCCTCTATCTGCAGGGTCTGTCTCGACGCCAAGCCAGGCGTGGTAGGTCCCATCAGAGTTGGGAGCGATGCTCCTCCGGAAGGTAGTTGCTCTCCCACTCCATCTCCTTCCCTCCCCTGCAAATGCTCACCACCAGGCGCTTCCCAGGCCAAGACGAGAGGCTCAGCCAGGCCAGCGTGATCGATGTGGCATCGGTAGAGCCCTCTATCTGCAGGGTCTGTCTCGACGCCAAGCCAGGCGTGGTAGGTCCCATCAGAGTTGGGAGCGATGCTCCTCCGGAAGGTGCCCTCCTCCACCAAGCCAGGCGTGGTAGGTCCCATCGGAGTTGGGAGCGATGCTCCTCCGGAAGGTGCCCTCCTCCACGATCTCCCCATTCTTCCTCCAAGTGGCTTCGATCTCCTTGGGGTAGAAGCCGTACATGTGACAGACGAGAATCACCCGGCCTTCAGAGACCGACATGCTTGTCACCTTCCCTACTGGAGGCTCTGCAAAAATGGCAAAATGAACATCCATGTCAGCAATCCAAATCTCTCGAAGTCACTGGCAGGACAGGAGGCGCCTTCAAAGAGCAGGTGGACATCTCATCCTAGCAGGTGTACTAAAGGAGGACCAACCTCCAAACCAAAGGACATTCCAGGTTCACTTGGGGACACTCACATATATGGTCTTCAAGGATGACATCCCTGTTTGCAAGCAAAGATTTTTAGGGCTGCTGGTTGTGTGTCTCCAGGCCCTAGGCATGAATGGCCTGAAATCCGATGGATCGTCAGATCTGGATCATGGGCTCATGAGGGTTACCCTCTCAAAGGAGAGAGGCTGAATCTGCCGGCTCTCTTGAGAACGGTTTCATTCTGAAATGAATCTTAGTATTAAAGCCAGCAAACACATTTTGTAACAATAATAAAGGATTAAGAGTAAAAAAAAATATGGTCTTTTTCACAAAAGGAGGATTAGTTTACCAAATGTGTAGAAGCTACATGACAGGTAATAGTCAATGTACAATCTGGAGTAATTTAGAGTTTTATAGTATTGCGGGAGATAAAGAAATAATTCTTTATGGAAAATGTGAAAGAAATTATAATGAATCTAGAAAATTCCTAAATAATTTGGTATAATGCTGCAAAAAATGATTTCTCCATTATGTCAAATGATTGAATTAGACTGATTTCCTGGAAATATTAAGAGAGGTATAAAAAGGGTATTAGTAGAGCAAGGAATCAGCAGAATAAGCGATTGGTTAAAGAGGATGTGTAACAGATAACAAATTAGAGTGTTACCAGGAGAAGGAGGAATTTCATGGGTTAAATGCAATTCATTTAGAAAACTGGACTAATGATAGGAGGAAAAAAATTAGGGAAATGTAGAACTTTGACAAAATTTTAAGAAATTATTGAAAAAAGGAAAAGGGAGAAGGTCATAAAAGCAATAAAGAGAGATAGTATACAATAAGATAGTATACAATAAGTATAGTATACAATAAGTATACTATACTGTAAAAGATATTGAAGGAAGCAGAAACTAAATTAAATACTGAGATTTACATGAAGAAATTAGTGTTAGAGATTGGAAGCTATGGAATAAAAGAATACCGAAGAGCATATCTATAAGGGTTAACGAGAGCTTGTATAAAGCAATATATAGTATTTAACTCGGGTGGAATTGAATTTAATAAATAATGAAGCACCATCTCTTTGCTGGAGAGGTAAGAAAAGACCTGGTACTCTACACATTTTCAAAGGTGGTGGGAATGTGATATGATGCAGAAAGACTGGACAGTGGTCTTTAATAAGATAAAGGAAATGATGGGCATAAACATACAAAAGTGTCCAATGATAGCTTTGTAAACATGTGTAGAAATATTCAAATAGAAGGGGGGGGAGAAAGTAATTAATATTATGGTAACTGGGGCAAGATTTAATATGTGCAAGAAACTGGAAGAGTAACCATTTTTAAAATATGACTGAAACTCCGTGGCAACCAAGGTGGCCGGAGAGGCAGGTCTCTGTTTAGAAAGAGCTTTCAGGAGGCAGCTGGAAACGATGGGTGGCGTTATCTGACAGCTTTCCATCAAAGAAGGGGATATTTTGGTCATATTGTCTAGGAACCAGAAAGAGGGAAAGAAATGTCCTGCCCTCCTTTCTTAAAGGTTATGATGTTTTCGGAAAGCCTCGTCAGCTTTGTTATCTGCTGGAGTGCCAGTTCTTCCTCCAGGGAGCTTCCTTCTTTCTGTTGCCTTTGAGCATCCTTATTTAAGCAACTAAGTATTTTGGTTTCAGGATCCTTTTGTGTGTCTGTCCGTGTGTATTTGCGTGTATGGGGGAGGGAGGGAGGGAGAGAGAGAGAGAGAGAGAGAGGGTTTGTGAACCCTCGAGGCTTACATCCTCTTTATAAAATGTTGGCTGGTCTGACAAATCATCCTCTTAATCATCCTGGTTCTGTGTCTCTAATTTGCAAGGTGGAAGAAGGAGGGAAGTGGCAGCTGGCAAAAAGCAAATCGGGAACCAGACGGAAGAAATTACACAGCGGGGAAAGGAATGACCAGATGGGGATAAAAATGCGGGCCAGGGGAGCGATGGAGCCACAGGGAGCAAGAATAAAAGCAGAGCGTTGAAGTGTTTAAGATGAAAGCAGGAGAATTCAAACTCGGCTCAGGATGGCCTCCATCAGCCTAGTTCCCTGCAGCTGGCTTCGAAGCCAGAAAGATGACTCTTCAAGGGACAGGACGCCTGGCTGACAACGGTGTATGTGTGTGTTGATTCCCTCACAGAAAGAGGGTGCCTTCTTGTCTAGGGGACAAATTGGCAACGGGAGGGGAGGGAATGTCTGGACCGCAGAACAGAGAGCAAAAGCCCAGTGAAGATGCCAAGGGCAGCATCGCAAAAAGGGCTGCTCTGGATTGATCTTGGCCATCAGCCACGCTGGAAACAGAAACGGAAGGGTGCAATCCAGAACAAGGGGAGCCCACAAAGGTCTCGCTGGCCAAAGAAGAAGACTGGGCTTGATGCTGTTTTGTTGTCAGAAAATAGCTCTTTTCTTTTCTTTCTTTCTTTTCTTCTTTCTCTCCATCCATCATCAGCTCCTTCCTCCCTCCCTCCCTTTCCCCCTCCCATTTCTATACCATTCCACAAGGACCAGGCATTCTCTAGGGTGTGTGTGCGAGTGTCCCACATTACACTTCAGCAACCCAACTGTGATCCAAAATGGGGGATAAGCCTCACACCCCTTTGAGTCAAAGATAGAAAAAAGGCAGAAAAGAGGCGTTGCAGAGAATATGGCCCCTCTTCTCCACCAGGAGCCCTCCCTGTTTCTCCTGCCATCATCCCTCACCTCTCCTCAGCAGCGTCTCCTTCCCGTAGTCCAGGTATCTCCGCAGCCACTCGATGCAAATCTCCTCCAGGTAGGCCTTTTGTCTCTGGGCAAGGGCCAGATCCTTCTCCCACTTCATCTTTGTGATCTGGGCCTTTGGATCAGCAGCCGTCCAGGTGAGGGTCTCCTTATCGAAGCTGAGGTAGTCCCTCCCATCGTAGGCAAACTGGGAATGCCCTCCTCCTGGGCTCCCGTCTGCCCTCAGCTCACAGCCGTACATCCACTGCACAGAGTGAAACCCTGAAAGGGACACACATTGAGGGGGGGGGGG